GTTTGCTTGTCTAATGGAGTATAAGTCTTGTAGCATTTTTTCACCTTTTAGAAATCTCCATTCTCTCTCCTCTCCCACCCAAATCATTTCTAGATTCCCACCCTCCAAATTGCATATTCTCTCTTCCATCTGATCTGCTGTTTCCAGTGCTTTCTAGTGCATTGAAAAGGACTTATATATTGATTGAGTCCTTCAGCTCCAGAATTTTTGTTTGCTGCTTTCTCGTAATTTCAACCTCTTTCATTAATTTTATTCCTGAGGTCACTGAAGTGCCTTTCTGAGTTTTCTTGTAGCTCATTGAATTTCTTCATAGCTGCTATTTTGTATCTTTCATCAGTGAGAACACAGTGTTTTGTGTCTTTCAGTTTCGTTGCTGCAGATTAGGCCTTTTGTTTTTGTGAAACCCTATTACTGTGATTTTTTTCATAGTGTATCATGAATGTACCTCTGCTGTCACATTTGTAGTAGCAAACACGTTTCCTACTTAGGTAAGGTTTTGTTTCCTTGTATTTAAGAGTTCAGTAGGTTGTCAATCAGAAGCCTTTCTTTTGTTTTCCAGAAGGTGGTGCTGTAGCACAAGTTTTTTTGTTTCTCCTGATGCTCTGTCTAACCTGGGATGGAGCTAGGACGAGGCTGGTTTGCAGTTTTCATTGGAGTCAACCTACCTCCAGTTTCAAATAACACAAAGGGAGATCTACACAGAGCCTGGCTGGGGCTCTCTCTTTCTCTCTCCATCAACTGTGGGAGATTTATTCTGCCCTTAAGCCTCCTACCTCCATGCCATTTCTTTATCTGGCAAATACGTTGATTGGGAGACTGGCCATGTCTTCGAGACAGACTCTTTTCCTTGGGCAAGATTTTTGTTTCTGAAATACTCTTAAGGCTGGAGGAAACTTCAATCTGAGTATTAGAAGCTGCTAACTTCCATGCAGTCTCCAGATACAACAAATGCACCATGATGAAAATAGCACCACATATTTAGGGATCTCGGGGTTTCCAAATTGTTTCTGCAGCCCCACCCATTTTCCAGAAATTGTCATGTGTTTTCACTCCAGAGTGATATCCCTCAATTTAGAGCAACCTGGAGCCTAAGCCTGCTCATAGAATCGGGTAGAATTCAGAAGTCAGAGACAGCTGCCAGTCCTCTCATCTCAGAATGGCCTGTACCTCTCTGTTTTACTGTTCTTAGTCCTCTTTGCTTTCTCAGATACATGATTTCTGTAAAAATAAGACTTTTGCAAGTTACATATTTTTACTTTTTGCAGCAGGAGAGACATAGTGCTTCCTACTCCTCCCTATTCTGAATGAGAAATTCCTATATACCAGGCTTTTTTGATGTTTTGAATAATCTAACATGTTCTTAGAAACTATCATTATGTGTGATTTGTATCATTTACGCCAAGCAAGTGCAATGAAAATGTGGGATCGTTGCCTTTTTGTATTAACGCCAGTTTCATGCAGCGGTTTACATCAGGCCGTTTCATCCATTTATCAGCTATTTCTTGAACACTGATGACCTAGGACTTGTTCTGTACGTAACTGAGGATGTAACAATGAGCAGAAAACGAGAAAAATACTTGCCTGTGTAGTGCTTACATTTTACTTTGAGGAGACTGATGCAAAATCAGATACAAAGCAGGATCATCAGCTGGGAATGAGGAAGGTGGAGAGTGTATTAGATTTTGACAAGAAAAAGAGAATATGTGAAATGGTCAGTTTAGAGAAGAGAAGAAGAAATGGTCTAGGGATGCAGCTGAGGACTGCCAGTCATCGCCAAGCTGTTCGATATCAGTAGACATGAATTTGAAGTGACTGTGTTTTCTTCAGCCACTTTGTCAGCTTCCAGGGTGGGAGCACAAGTAGGAGAGTCAGAGTCGGCCAAGATTGGGGTCTTCTAGGGTGTGTGTAATGGAGGAGAGGAGGGCAAAGAGATGAAAGGTGTGTGTGCAAAGTAGTCCATTGTAGTGTTGGACCACGGAATCCAACCTGGCTAAATAAGGAAGAAAAGAGAAAAACTGAATAACATGAGGACAGTGGATTTGATCTCTTGGTGGGAATGAGCATCATTGAAGTGGTCCCTGGAGTAGTAAGCACACTGTAAAGATAAGAGAGAATGGTGTACTTGAAATCAAGATTTGGGAGGCCATACAGTTACTAAATAATGGAAAAGTGTACATTAGTAGCGTTTCTCCATAGGCAAACTACTAGTATTCAGGGCAGGGTAATTCTTTGATGCAGGAGACTTAAACATTCTGTAAGATACTGAGCTTTCTTTGTCCCCAGACACTAAATACCTTTAATCATCTCCTAGCTACACCTGTGTCAACACCCCCCACTCCCTGCTGTGTGCATACATACACATTTCTAAGTTCAGACAAGGTGAGAACCACGGGTCTAGGCTGTGACCAGTAGATTTGGTGGTTTTGCTGGAGACCAGCTAGGTTGTTTTGGGCTGCAAATCCTAGAATTCTTAAATAATACAGATTTAGTATCTCATGTAGGAAGTCAGAAGTAGACCATTTCAGTGCCAGTAGTGGGGTTAGCTTCTCTGTGATTTTCATGGCTTTCCTCTCATGATTCTCCCGTACTGCTAAAATTCCAGATCACGTCTGCACACATGTGGAGACCAAATGAAGGCTCGCTTCCTTTCATCCATCTCTCCATCTGTAGGAGACTTACCCCTTTCCAGGAAGCCCCTTCGGGGACTTCTTCTCAAGGGACTAGTAGTTTTCACTAGGTTACATACCTAATTCTTAACCAGTACTGGCAACAAAGGATGGGTTCACCACGATTGATTTAAACTATCGTCAGTTTTGGCCAGCCTACCTTGTCAGTGCACCTGAATTTGGTTCAGAAACAAGAAGGTAAAAAGCCCCAACTGTGTCTGCATGGGGGATTTGTGTGTCTGAGAAGCCAGTGTTGGGTGGCTTGTCTATTTTGATATTAAAGTTAATAAGAATAATAAAAAGGGTTGTAATAGAAAGAAGGGCAGTGAACAATGTGTGAAATTGTTAGTCAAAGACAGAATAAGAAAGACAATGGATGATAACTTCAGCAGATGAGTAATGGGCATTTTAGCAGACTGGGATTTACAGGGTGGACAGAGGTAGCAAAGAGGAGCCAGGGCACCTACCCACCTCCATACCCTGCAGGATGTGAAGTCTAGGAGGAAAAGGAGCTGTGACTGGTATCCACTGGCTATTTTTATGTCTTCCTTTTTCTACTCCTAACTTAGGTATCTTTCTAATATATATAATTTTTTTGAGAGAGAGCATGCATGCACATGCGTGCGTGTGGTGGTGATAGGGGCAGAGGGAGAGAGAGAGACTATTAAACAGACTCAGCACTGAGCATGGAGCCCCACATAGGCGGGGCTCGATCTCACCACCCTGAGGTCACGATCTAAGCCAAAATCAAGAGTTGGTCACTTAACTTACTGAGCTACCCAGGTGCCCCCTTAGATATCTTTTTAAAATAAATAAAGGATGTTCTTTTAAAGATAGTAAGTACAAATGCATTGATATTTACCATGTTTTGAAACAGAAAAGTGTAAGAAGTACTTACTGAATGTAGAAGATCATGGTTGGATGCACAATAGATACATCTTACACCTTTAATTCAAATTAACCATTATTTATGAATACAAATATCATGATACTATTCTCTGTGCATATGGTGAAAATTAATTAGAAAATCTCCCTCCTCTGAAGGCCACAATATTTTGGAGCTTGTGTGTGTGTGTGTGTGTGTGTGTGTGTGTGTGTGTGTGGTGTGTGTATGTGTGGTGTGTGTGGTGTGTGTACACATATATACATCTATATATACACATACTTATATAAAACATAAGTAATACATATAAGTAATATGGCATATAAGCAATATGTTATATAAAGCAATATATAAATAATATAAGTAGTATAAAACAATCAGTAATGACTTGTACTAACCAAAAATTATGGTGAATAGAGACTTACTATTGCAAACCCTCCATAAGATAGCACAATAACTATTTTAGGACAAGGGTGGTTTCATTTCTGATAAAATTCTTTAAAGTTTTCTTTTTTTCCATATCTTCTGATAATATCTGGGAATAAACCTCAGTAGAATTAATGTTTCTTGAATACCTTGCATCTTCTGATTAGAACCACAAGAATAGTAATCTCTATTTTAGCTAAATTGATGAGCCGAAGTCATCTGTAGTGGGTTTCAACTTTCATACATAAAATTTGGGGGCCAGCATTTCTGTATATTGTATGCACTTGACCCTTGAAACAATACGGGTTTGAACTGGGTGGGTCCTGTGGATTTTTTTTTTTTTTTTTTTTTGGTAAATACAGTACAGTGAATGTGTTTTCTCCTTCTTATGATTTTCTCAGTAACATTTCCTTCTTTTCAGCTTACCTGATTGTAAGAATACAGTGTATAATACATATAACTTACAAAGTATGTGTCAGTCACTGTTCGTGTTATTGATAAGGTTTCTGGTCAACAAGAGGCTCTCAGTAGTTAAGTGTATGGGTGAGAAGTTATACACAGATTTTCTACCGCATGGGGGTGTCCAGTGCCCCCAAACATCCCCCCCTGCATTGTTCAAGGTGAGCTGTATTAAATCTCTAAACCTCCCTTGACACACCAGACTCTGGTTTTAATGCATCATCTGACACAGGAAGTTTTTGGGGTTATTGCATGATGACACTTCCTGCTAGGATGAATGGGGCCTGAATGGTTGTTGACTTAGTGGTAGACTGCACCAGCAGTGTTTGAAATGGAAGATCTCACATGGTAGTAGGCAGATCCTTTCCTAATCTGTTACAGTTTTAAAGGAACATGCATTGGAGTTTTGATATTTAATTGTGATGTGTTTACTTGCTTTTTGTTGATGTGTAGATGTTTTGATCAGAATTATGTAAGGATTTCTCTAGAAAGAAATATATTGCTATTAGTTTTAAAAATTTAAGATACGGCCATATTTCTCATTTTTTCTTTCTTTTTTTTTTAAGAGTCAACACAGACTGTTCAAGCTCTACAGTATTCAACTGCTGATGGTCCACTAACAGCAAGCAAAGATTTAGAAATAAAAGCCTTAAAAGAAGAAATTGAAAAACTAAGGAAACAAGTAAGAGGTAAATTTCTGTGATTCACTATTATTTCAGTTTAGTAGGTTTTTAAAAAAATGTTTTATTAACACAAGACATTTATTGAGTGCCTGTCATGTGTTACGTGATGTGAGCTCTAGGGCCATGAGGGAAGAGCAAGTAAGAATGGTTTCTGCTTGGGGCACCTGGGTGGCTTAGTTGGTGAAGCGCCTGACTCGTGATCTCAGCTCAGGTCATGATCTCAGGGTCTTGGGATCGAGCCCTGCGTCGGGCTCTGTGCTTGGTGTGGAGCCTACTTAAGATTCTCCCTCTCCCTCTGCCCCTCCACCTCCTAGCCCCAGCCTGGCACATGTGCACTCTCTCTCGCTCAAAAAAAGAAAAGTTTCTCCTTCCAAGGAGCTCACATTTTGGTCTGGTGAAATAATAGTTTTTGCAATACATGTGGAAAGGCTATGAGAAAAAGAAACATAGGTACATGGAGAGTATTTAGGAGGGGCACCTAACCACGGTTAAGTTAATGGTTTAAGTTAACAAAGATGACGTTTTTGAAAGACCTATTAGTTTGTGACATTTAGTTGGTATCTGGCTGAGCATATTTATGAATCAGGGAAGGAGTGTTAGGAGTGAGGAAGAAGGATAGTGTAGACAAGGGAACCAGATGTATGCAGACATCAAAGCATGTGAAAATTTATTTTCTCCGTAACAATTCCTTTCAGCATATTGATGAGATTTAATTAAAATTAATTTGGACAACTGTTGATAGGCCTGTTACATCCATTCATGCATGTATTCTGTTCATTCAACAAATATTTATTGAGCAGCTGCTGTGTACCAGGTGTTATTTTAGGCTCTTGGGATGCAATACCAAACAAAATTAATAAAATCTTTGTTTTGCTGGGGTGGAAGGCACACAACAGACCTAAAACAATAACTATATAACTTTGTAGATGATACAGTGTGTTAGAAGGCGCTAAGTACTTAAACATAGAGCAGAAGAAGGAGAATGGGTCAGAAGTACAAGATGAGTTTTATAATTTTAGGTGGGGTGGTGTGGGTGTAAGCCTCATTGAGGAGGTAACACGTAAACAAAAACTTGAAGAAGGTAAGGGCTTAGCCATGCAGTTAAATGGGAAACACATGTCTGAGGCAGAAGGACCAGCCAGTGCAAAGGCCCTGAAGTCAGAATGTGACTCCTAAGTGTAGTTAGGACCCAGAGGACAGCATGGCTGGAGCAGGAGGAGCAAGGAAGGGAGAGTGGAGGAGGGGAGGCCAGAGAAGTAAGGGGTTGGGGAGGGTCTGTGGCCTGATCCATAGTCTCACCGACTGTTACAAGGTTTTTGGCTTTTTCTATCAATGTAATGGGAGCCTTTGTCAGTCAGGGTTTAGAGTCACGGCACCTTACCTAAGTATAAGGAAAGAGAGAGAAAAAGGTACTAGTTGAGCTAGGATCGTCAGGCCTCCAGAAATACCATTTTAAGACCAAAATAAGTGAAGAAGAAGAAATAATCTCATATGGGGTCTTTTATAAAAAGGGCTGTTTAAAATGCCACATTAATACTTTGCTTGTATTAAATATACATGGAGCTCTTAAATTTGATAATTTATGCTGTTCTATTTTTTTTTTTTAAGATTTTATTTATTTATTTGACAGAGAGACACAGCGAGAGAGGGAACACAAGCAGGGGGAGTGGGAGAGGGAGAAGCAGGCTTGCCTGATGCGGGGCTCGATCCCAGGACCCTGGGATCATGACCTGAGCTGAAGGCAGACACTTAACGACTGAGCCACCCAGGTGCCCCTATGCTGTTCTATTTTTTTTAAGTGGCTCTCTTCCTAAGAAATACCTCTTTATCAAATTTCTGTAGCTTTATCTTTCTAAAATTAAGGTAGATTAGGAATATGATAAGCAGAATCCTTCACTTTGCTATCAACAATAAAGCATTGATAGCAGTGAATGAGTTATTTGAAAAAGTAGTAAAAACACAAGACCAGCTGAGATGGTCAGTGATTTATCTTCAAAGAGGTTATGGGGATTGGGATGACTTCCTCATAAGCCCATCTTATTAGCTCTAAGAGGGTTTTTTTTTTTTTAATTGATTCTTTAGGATTTTCTGTGCAGATCATCATGCGTCTGCAAATAGGAACAGTTGTATGATCTGTATGCCCGTTTGATCTGTATGCCCGTTTGATCTGTATGCTCGTTTGATCTGTATGCTTTTTATTTCCTTTTATTGCATTGGCTAGAATTTGCATAACTATGCTAAAGAATAGTGGTGAGAACAGACATCCTGGCTTTCTGAGGGGGAAGCATTCCATCTTTCACCCTTAACTGTAATACTAGCTACAGGTTTTTTATTGACACTTTTTACCATGTAAGAAGTTCCCATCTAGGGGTGCCTGGGTGGATCATTCTGTTAAGCATCTGCCTTCGGCTCGGGTGTGATCCCAGGGTCCTGGGATCGAGCCCCATGTCGGGCTCCCTGCTCATGGGGAAGACTGCTTCTCCCTCCACCCCCCCACCCGGCTTGTATGCTCTCTCTCTCTCTCTCTTTGAAAAAGCAAAAAAAAAAAAAAAAAGTTCCCACCTAGTCCTGTATTTCTAAGGTTTGTTTGTTTTTTTAAATCACAAATTGGTTGTTGAAATTTGTCAAGTATTTTTTCTCCATTTGTTGATATTCATATGTGATTTTTTTTTCTTTAATTAGCCTGTTAATATGGTGGATTAGATTGGTTGATTTTGAAATTATTGAACCAAACTTACATCCCTGGAATATACACATCACTGGTCATGGTGTATAATTATTTTTATATATTACTGAATTTTATTCCTAGTATTCTGTTAAGGATTTTTGCATCTATATACATGAAGGGTATTGGCCTTTGTTTTTCTTTCCCCTCCCTCCCTCACTCCCTCCTTCCCTCCTTTCCTTTCTTTCTTTTTCTTTCTTTCTTTCTACTGTCTTTGTTTCTGTCCTTTTGTTTTTTTTTGTTATTGAGATACAACTGACATACATTATACTAGTTTTAGGTGTACACATAATGATTCAGTATTTGTATATATTGTGAAATGATCACCAAAGGAAGTCAATGATCACGAGTACACATAGTTACAGAATTTTATTCTTGTGATTAGAAATCTTAGGAGCTACTCTCTTAACAACTTTTAAATATATAGTACGGTATTATTAACTGTGGTCCTTCTGCTGTACATTATATACCCAAGACTTACTTATTATATAACTGCAAGTTTGTACCTATTCATCACTTTTACCCCTTTAACTTGCCCTGTACCCCTGCCTCTTGTAACCACCAATCTCTTCTCTGAGTTCAGGGGTTTTGTTGTTTTTTTTTAATAGATTACACATATAAGTGAGATCATACAGTATTTGTCTTTCTTTGACTTATATCACGTAGCATAATTCCCTCAAGGTCCATCCATATTGTTGCAAATGGTAAGGTATCTTTCATTTCAGTGACTCAGTAATATTCCATTGTACATATACCCCACATTTTTTTTTAATTTTTTGTTATGTTAATCACCATACATTACATCATTAGTTTTTGATGTAGTGTTCCATGATTCATTGTTTGTGCATAACACCC